TAGATATTTAACAACATGAGTAAGATGGCATGCTACCCTTTATTATATCACCAAGGGCCCTGATTTCAACCCTGAGCTACGAATTTTCTCTCCACATTCCCTTATATCCATCAACAATGGAGAAGGAAAGTTCTCTATTTAACTGAAATGTCAAGGATGTGGAATGGAAACCCACCACATGCCAACATGAAAATCTCATTCAAACTCAATAAGTATCATTTCTAGACCTTGTGGTCATTGTGGAACACTCTTCAAATCTCTTTCAGAGGAATGCCACTTCTGCCCCACACAGTATTAAGTTTAGTCATGTGGTTTAACTATCCAGTCAGCAGATGATTACTAATAGTTAAAGTGCTATTCCAGAATTCACAATCCGGTTACTCTGAAGAAAAAACAACCCTTTACTTTAAACAACTGAGGCTATTATTACCCTGAATCCTTTCCAAGGATGTTTTAAGGGCAACCAAAAGATAAACAGTAGATAAAGGAAACACCACAGTCTTATTACTACAGTCTCTCTGAAACATGTATTTGTATATATATATATATGTGTGTGTGTTCTTGAGAAGCTTAAGATTTCTTTGATGAAAACCATGGTAGATCAAGTTCTCACATGGCCAACTTCAAACATTGAAAGAAAGGTCCATCTCAATATAAGATAGAAGACAAATGTTAAACACTATGATTTATGGTTGAGCACATTGTACAAAGTCAATTATAGCATCTTTAGTAATAAACTTTAAATGATGAATCAGCAAGATTAACAAATGCAGATTGTGAATGTTATATTGCCACATTTTTTCCTTGTGTATTCTTATTAATTTTGCTAAATTATTTATTTATATCATTGATATCCCCCTTTTCTTCAACAGATTGGAGCAGCAAAACTACCAAAATAATATACCATGTTTCCCTGAAAATAATCTTATTTTCTTTTGACCCTCAAAATAAGCACTTGGCCTTATTTTTGGGGAGGTCTTATTATTTTTGAGGTGCAGGAGACGGCAAGTGTGGTCACCTCATGGCTCCTGCTGTGTTGCAATATTTTTGGGAAGGGCTTATTTTTGGGGAGGGCTTATTTTAGCACATGCACTCAAAAGCCCGATTGGGCTTATTATCCGGGGAGATCTTATTTTCAGGGAAACAGGGTACTATGAAACTATAAATCCTTCCATCCTCCACT